CATGGAAAAAGAGGGTTTGGAAAGAGAGGAGAGCAGAGGGACAGCTACTGGCACTGGGTCAGTTCTCAGCTGCTCCTCCCTAAAGTGCCAAACATGGAAGTAGAAGAAAAGAAGATTTGAGGGGTCCAAGGTGTTAGAAAAGAGAGCAGAGGGGTTCATGCAGGAGAAGCAATGAGAGCTGCTCAGCTGAGCCACCAGTTCTGGTTACAGTGACAGGATGGGAGCCTGGACACTTGTCCCCACATCTATGTCCCAATCCCAAACCAAATCCTACCTGGATGTCCCCATGCCCAAAAAGCAAAGCAGAAGGGGAAGCTGAAGCTAACCAGGGTTGCAAAGTGGACTTGCAGGAGAATGAGGGATGAATCCTCATGGGAGCAGAACCTCTTTGACACAGCATTTGATATGGAAAAAGAGATCAAAACTACATTGGAACACAGAAGGGTTAAAGATCGTGAATGAGACAATATTAATTGTCTGAAACACAGTCTGCTTGACTTCTGGTTTACAAAGATCTCTCCCTACTTTAGTTCCCATGGTAACTCCTGTGCAGAACCACACTTTTCCTCATCATCTCCACAGAGTTGAAGGCAATTTTGTAATCCAATCAAATGGGAAAGACAGAATTTGTTCGGGCATTGAGGAAACTGCTGCCTAACGAGCACACAGGGATGGGGAGAGGCCACGCTCACAATTACAACCCCAGAGAGAAAATTAATTACTGAATAATTAGCAGTTACTGGGGTTTCTTAGCTCAGAGAGGACTGTGAGAATAATTCCGAGGTCTTCCAAGTGGTTTTCCAAAGTGGGAAGCAGCAAACTGATCGTGCAGAGCTGATGATGGGAAACTCTCTGCTCCCAGAAATCTGAACCCTTGAACACCGTGGGCCCTGTGAAGCCTGGCTGAGGCAGCTCAGGTGCTGTGGAGCAGAAGGAATGGGCCTGTTGGATGGGAATGTGCTTTCCAGGGGGGAATGTCCAAGCAGGAGGAGGGGATTCTGTTAATCCTTCCCAGACATGGACAGTGTGGAATGTTCATATGCACCGAGCCTAATGTGGCTCCTGAGAAGTCACTGTCACTCCTGGGGGTTTCAGTCCAGAAACCAGAAAAAATAACAAATTATTTCCTGTGAAATACAGGATTTTTTCTGTAGGAAAAAAGCATTCATGTATGGATAGAGTTCCTGAAATGAAATCCTGAGCCACAGAGAAATAATTACATCTTGACTTTTATTTTTTTAATGCTGATGGCCAGAAAACTGAGTGGAATCCTAGATGCCAGCTTTAACAAAAGGATGAAGTCAGGAAACAGCTCACTCGAACTGGACAACTCATGAAATTCACAGACATTTGGTAATTTTGTAACCCAAACCTTGCTCAAATTGTGGCTGTGTGTTGGTATGACCACAAAATCCCCTTCACCTTAACAAAACCATCTAGAAAAAATTAGCCAGGATCAGTTTTTCTTCCTGCAGCACTACAAAATGCAGCTCCAGGCCTGGCTGGGACTTTTTGGGACAGCCTGGTTTCACCTTGGGCTTTAGGACAATGACTTCATGTCTCTTGCCTCACATGATCACACTCAGGGAAAGCTCTCTGCATAATCTCTTGGCATTTCAGAAATGCAGGAGCTGTAAATGAGGTCAGGGCTGTGATGCTGTACCTGATCCAGGGACTGCAGAGCTTGGAAGCATCACCTGGCCAAGCCTCCACTCTCCTCAAGTGGTCCTTCAAAAGGTCAGCCCAAGGTGGGCAAGTGCTGGGCTCCTGCAGCTTATTCATCTGGTTTAGTGTTCAGCTCATCCTCAAGACACACAAAGGTGCTTAAAAATAGAGAGAAAAAAATGTAAAATAAGGAAAAATAGAACTGCTTCAATTTGTTCCAATTTCAAATATAAATGAATCAACATTCTGCAAAAAAGAAACCCAGTGAGTCAATTTCTGTGCAATTTTTTAGAGTGGTTTTGAGCACTTACAGAATGGAGTGAGTTTGTAGAATTTGTTCATCTCTGTGGCTTTAGCTTTGGGGATAACATTGAGGCATTTGAGTGTTTGAGTATTTTTATTTTCAGCTCAAAAGAGAGCAAAGCCCAAAGGGAGCTGAGACTTTCCATTTCCACTCCTACCTGCAGCATCTGAGTTTATGAGGCACAGACATCATTGAGAAAAGATGATTTCTTGATGACACAGGCCTCTCTTATTTCATCATCCTTCATCCTGTATCAAAACCCAACAGCGCTGTGGACAGGAGAAGATATCCCAGAATGGCTTGGGTGGGAAACACCTCAAAGTCCACCTTGTTCCAAATCCCTGCCATGGGCAGGGACACCTTCCACTAGACAGGTTAAAATTTTTGTAATTTTCCCTCTGTCAGACAATTATCTGGGCTTGTGCTTCTTCCTGTGCATCCCTAGTGTTCAATCTAAAGGGACAATTCAATTCATGAAACTTAAAGACTCTTTGGTGGTGGCATTTTTGTAACCCCAGCCTTGATCAATTTGTGGTTGAGTGTTGGTGGGAAGGTTTAAACTGACCAGGAAATCCCTTTTACCTTAGGAAAACAACCTAAACCACGAGTTCTTGGATAAGGAAAAAGCCTTGAAGGGTGATGGGGTGTCCCCAGCAGGAAATCCAGGTAATTTCTAACAAAAAAGGATTTTCTTCCTTCACTCCTTCCCTTTAGAAGCAGCCTCAACTCTGCCTCTGTGTGGCAGCACTGAAAAAGAACATGGAAAAAAGAATGAAAGATGTGTTTCTTTCTTTAGGTCACTTGGTTATTAACTCTCTTTATCCTGCCATGAACCTTGAAAGATGAGGCAGATATTTCTCCTGTCAGCTTGGGAGGGCTGAGGGGAACAGGCTGGAGGAAGATGCCTCAAAGATAAGGTTATGGCTTTCTTGTTCTCAAAACTTTACAAAGAAACAAGACAATGTCAATGCAATATCAATAACAGAGATAAAAGTAATTCAGAGCAGTCATTACACTTAAAATAATTCCTGGAACCAAGCAGGGGAGGTATGAAGTCATAATTTTCAGGGTCTTCCAAGCTGCTCCCATAGGGAGCTCAGTGTACCTTTGAAGAAATCTTTTTATTCACAGCAGTAAATTTATTTACACATGATTACACAACACGTTTTTATGCACTCATTCCTCAACATGTCTCAAATTATCAGGGATAATCACAGAATTGTTTAGGTTGGAAAAGACCTTTAGGATCATTGAGTCCAGTTGTTACCCAGAGACAGCTCTTTGCATTTCACCTGATTGCTGATGCAGAACGGAATATTCATGGATTATCAATAACAAATTTAAAAAAATTCAATTATGCCTAAAACAGCAGTCAGCAGAGTGCTGCAAGCAGTGATTTATTCCGGAGTGCTGAATCAATGAATAACAAGTCCTTAATAATGCCTGTTCTCCTACAGACAGGAACATACACGTTGTACTATAGAAAATATGCCAAAATAAGATAAAAATTAAAAAAAAAAACCCAAATGCTGACTTATTCTTTTTTCTTTTTCCTGCACTGGCTGCCAAGGCTCTGAACTGTGGGATATAAAATTATGGCAAAGGGGCAGGCAAAGAAATTATCCAGCGAGGAAAAGGAAGGTGATATTATCACAGGAGCTGGGGAAAAAATTGTGTTAAAGAAAGTATGTGCATATGGAAAAAGAGGTCCCTGCCCTGGAAATGCTTCATCTGGTGAGACAGGAGTGAGTTGATGTGGGATTTGTCTGCTTGTTAACACTGACCTTCTCCCTGACTTCTGCTTGAGAGGTCAGTACTCAGATGCTGTTACTTTCTGCTGTAAATAAAGATCACAGAATCATGGAATGGTTTGGGTTGGAAGGGACCTTAAAACCCACCCAGTTCCACCCCTGCCACGGCAGGGACACCTCCCATTATCCCAGGTTACTCCAAGCCCTGTCCAACCTGGTCTTGGACACTTCCAGGGATCCAGGGGCAACCACAGCTGCTCTGGGCAGCACAGGTTGGATGGAGAAGGGACTGAGAACAGCCCTACGGAGAAATATTAGGGGTGATGATGAATGAAAACCTCACTGTGAGCCAGCAGCGTGTGCTCCCAGCACAGAAAACTGTGCACAGAAAAATTCCCTGAATTTGGGAAGGGCACAGAGGAGCTGGAGAGTGTGCAGAGAATGGAGCTGGGGAAGGGTCTGGAGCCCCAGGAGAGGCTGAGGGAGCTGGGAAGGGGCTGGAGAATTGCTGAGGGAGCTGGGAAGGGGCTGGAGAATTGCTGAGGGAGCTGGGAAGGGGCTGGAGAATTGCTGAGGGAGATGGGAAGGGGCTGGAGAATTGCTGAGGGAGCTGGGAAGGGGCTGAGCCTGGAGCAAAGGAGGCTCAGGGGGCCCTTGTGGCTCTGCACAAGTCCCTGGCAGGAGGGGACAGCCGGGGGGGTCGGGCTCTGCTGCCAGGGAACAGGGACAGGAGGAGAGGGAACGGCCAAAGTTGAACCAAAGAAGGCTTAAGTTGAATATAAGGAAGAATTTGGTTGGCATAAGGAAGGGTTGCCAAGCATGAGAAGGGGCCGATCAGGGAATGGTGGAGCCCCCATCCCTGGCTGCGGCTCTCAGTGCTCCGGGCTGGGTGACAAGGTGGCCATCGGGCACAGCTTGGGCTCAATGATCACGGAGCCCTTTCCCAACCTCAGCGATTCTGTGGTAAGCAGCAATAGGTGCAAAATGAAAGAAGGGAAATTTAGGATATATGGAAGAAATCCTTCCCTGTGAGAGTAGTGAGGCTCTGGCATGTGTTGCCCAACCACCCGTGGCTGCCTGATCCCTGGGAGCGTCCAAGGCCAGGTTGGACGAACCTTGAAGCGCCCCGCACAAGCTGTGCCTGCCCATGGCAAGGGGTGGAACGAGCCGGGATTTTAAATCCCTTCCAACGCCAACCTTTCCAGGATTCCCCGATCCCGCCTCCCCGCGCTGCCCTCAGGGCGGGCCCGGCCATGACGCGGCGGGAAGGCGGAAGGGGAGGGGGGGGGCAAAATGGCGGCGCCGCTGAGGGCTCCGCTGCTGAGGGCTCCGCTCTGCGCTCTGCTGTGCCTGGCGCTGGCGGCCGCCGCCCGGGGCAAGCCGAGCCCCGTGAAGGTGCTGTCGGACGGGATGTGGCAGGAGCTGCTGCAGGACGAGTGGATGGTGGAGTTGTGAGTGGGGAGAGGCGCGCTCGGGCTGCCCGGGGGGGGTTCGTGTGGGGTGTGTGGTGACAGCGCTGTGCTGCTCCCACAGCTACGCGCCCTGGTGTCCCGCCTGCGAGAACCTGCAGCCCGAGTGGGAGAAGTTCGCCGAGTGGGGAGAGGACCTGGGGGTGAACGTGGCCAAAGTGGATGTCACGGAGCAGCCGGGTGAGAGGGGCTGGAAAGGGCTCCTGAACCCTCCGGGATTTGGGGAGCTGAGGGATTTGGGGGATGCTCATCTCCAATGTGTGTTTGTGGGAGGCAAGCAGAATTAATAAGGAAAAATAAAAGCGTTTTAATCGTCCCTACCAAACACACATTGCTGTGTGACTAAACGCCCTAATATTGCTTAATGGAATCCCAGAATGTTTTGGTTGGGAGGGACTTTAAAGATCAGCCCATTCCACCCCCTTCCACACCTTCCATTGTCCCAGGTGGCTCCAAGCCCTGTCCAGCCTGGCCTTGGACATTGCAGGGATCCAGGGGCAGCCACAGCTTCTCTGGGAACCACACAGGAACCTCCAGCTCTCCTCATAGGGAGGAGACTGTCAGCTAGTAGATAAAATAAATACAATTGAATAAATAAAATGGATAGACTATAATAGAGAAAATGAATTAGAGGTTTTCTCCAGAGAAGGATTTCAAGGAGATTTTTTGCCATAGTTTTTAAGCTAAAAACAATGTTTCACCCTTGCTATTCCAGTCCTTCCTTGGGTTACTCTCCCTCTCCTGAAAGTCTTTGGTCTGTGTGGGATTTGCAAACCTGGCTTTCCCGGTGCTGATCTCTTTCTTCAGAGTCACCTTACTTTTGAAACTTGCCTCACTTGGATTATTTTCTTCAGGGTTTCTGGAGGCTGCAGGTCATGTGTGTGAAAGGAGAGCGTCTCCCTCTGAAGAGCTACAGCCAGAACGGTCCAACAGAGCAGTTATCCCTGATATCTCATTTTCCCCGTGGATAAACTTCCTTGCTCTTTGTCCAGGGACCTTTTTTTAGAGTGTGCTGCTTTGACATGCACAAGGTTGTGTTGGATTGCATTGAAAGAGCGATACCTAGGCCTGACATTGTATTCTGGGGTGTTACAGCATTTCTTGCCTTTTCTTTCCCATCAAAATACTCAAAATACTCTCAAAATAACTTTTCTTTCAGGGTTAAGTGGACGATTTATCATCACAGCCCTCCCTACCATCTATCAGTAAGTCTGCATGGCAGCAGGGGTTTTTGGGGGTGAGAGTGGGCATTTTTTTCCTCTTTTTTTTTTAGGACAAATAAATGAGATTTATTATGCTCTTTAAGAATGGGAGCTACTTTTCACTGATGCAGCCACTGTCTCACCCACTGTGACCTTGAGCTGCCTAATGATTTCTTTTCCTTTCCCTTCAGGCCTTATTTATTCTGCCTTTTCATGGGTGTTTCTGTTTTGCAATCGTTTCTCTGTAGGTTGATCTTCAGTGCAGGTGTGTGGCAAGGGCTTTAGGAAGATCATTATCTTTCTCTTCTATTTTTTTTTTTTTTAATATGGAATCACAGCTTAAAGCTATCCAAGGTATTCGTGGAGTCAGTGTTCTGGAAATAACTTGGAGTTAGTCCAGGTGTTTGGAAAATATTTTTTAGAGGCAATATCAGCTAAAAAAATTACCACTGAAAAGTTGAATGTGTGGAAAATAGACAAGGTGATGGGAGGGGATCTGTTGGATGGAAAAAGTGCTGCACTTGGTGCTTGGATCATACAAAATAAAAGGATTTTGTTGTTGTTGTTTTACAGCTGCAAAGATGGAGAGTTCAGGAGATACCAGGGATCAAGGACTAAAGCTGCCTTCATTAATTTCATCAGTGACAAGGAATGGAAATCCATTGAACCAGTGTCCTCCTGGTTTGGTCCTTCCTCTTTCCTGTAAGTTTTGGGTTGTTTTTTTGTAAGAATTTATTATCAGATGTCCTGAGGTGTGTCCTGCTCCCTGTTCCCAGCTCTGTGTGGGCAGGAGCTGTGTGAACGTGGTGGGTGGGTGGGTGGGTGTCCTAATTCTTCCTCAGCTGTGGGAGGGTTGTCACCATAGCAGAGGTGACCTGAGCATTGTCACCATAGCAGAGATGTCCCCAGCAAGGTTTGCTTGAGGAGGTTGCTGGTGACTGCATTGTTTCCTAAACTTCTGTGGGTGCCTTGCTGACCCTTGAAGTTGTTTGGTTTCTGTGGCACTGAGGTGGTTTTGCCCAGTTAAATTCTAGGAAATTTCTTCCACTATCTGGAGGTGTCTACAAGGAAATCAGAGAGGGATTCCCCATCAGGAGCTGACAGGAAAAAGGGGAATGGGTTCAAAGTGTCAGAAGGGAAATTTAGGTTTGATATATGGAAGGAATTCCTGGCTGTGAGGCTGGTTCTCTTACAGAGTATTATCCCACACCAAGGAATGCATGAAACTGCATATGAACTTAGCATTAACAACTTCTCTCTTATTTTCTGTGTTCAGACACCAAACTTAAGTGTCTGAAGATCTCTCAGGTCTTATAATCTGATTTTTTTTTTAATCTGATAAAATAGTTTAATTTTTTGTTTTAATAAAACCTCCTGATGCTTCTTTCTTAATATCTTGACTGGAGTTCCAGCTGGCTTCCCACAGACCATTGATCAAGATAGAACAGAACCTGAAATTCACGTGTCAGCAGATGCAAGTTAAAGTAATCTGGGGATTTATAGCTGTCTGTCTATGAGCTGAGGCTGTTTCACACAGGTTTGAGGCTGATTTTAAAGTGTTCTCAGTTCCTCTCCTCTGCTTTGTTTCAGGATGAGCAGCATGTCAGCGTTGTTCAAGTTGTCCATGTGGATCAGGGTATTTGCTTCCATCTCTACTTCATTTTATCCTCAATATGAAATTCAGCTCTTCCTGAAATGATTCTCTTGTCTTCTGTTCCAGCATGGCCACGGCTATTTAACAGAAAACCTCGGAATACCAGTCTGGGGCTCCTATGCTGTTTTTGGATTGGCAACTCTGTTCTTAGGAATGGTCCTGGGACTTGTAAGTGAAATCTTTGGGGCTGACTGGGGCTTTGTTACGCTCGTGCTGCCTCCACCTCTGTTTTGGGGTGGGGTTTTGGGGTACCCTGAGCTGGAACACTGGGATGGGGAGCAGGATGGAACCCCCAAAATCCAAGGGAAAATGGTCACAACCAGGTGTGGGGCTGGATAGGATCCACCTGAGGTTAAATGGTAAGACTTGATCTTAAAAGTCTCCTCCAGCCTAAACGATTCCAATGTGCAGAATGTTTGGGAATTTCACCTTGAGTTTCTTTGGTTTCAGATGATGGTGTTCCTGGCAGACTGCATCTGTCCCTCCAAAAGGCACAAACTATCACAGTTCCAGCCTCAGTCAAGTAAGTCCACAGCAAACTCCTAATTCAGTCAAGCTTGTTTGGTAAATCTCATTTATAGAAAATATGAAAGAAATCCTGGTGTCTGCAGGATGTGACGTGGAGCATAGAACTTCGCGTTTGGGATTGATGCCTTGCCCTTAGGGTTTGTAGTGGGTTGGGATTTTCTATTTAAAACTGGTTTTAGGGATAGAAAAAATTTTGAGAGCGTTTTCCTACCTGCAAGACATGAAATTCCACATGGGCAGCGAGAGAAAATTGAGTGGAGCTCTCAGTGTTGCTGTGCTTGCCTGTGATGTTAAAAAAAGTGGATTTTACTTGGGAATTGTATTTATTTCTGTATTTTTCCTTTCTCCTTGAGGTAAAAAAGGTCCAGAGTCAGCTCATCTGCTGAAAAATAGGTATGAGGAGCAAGAAGGAGATGAGGGAGATATCTCAGATGATGAAACAAAGGGGAAGGGGAGGAGCAAGAGCGACTCGTCACCAAGCGGTGTCCGGCAGCGTGCAGTGCCCAGTGCTGCTCCTCTGGAGAAATCCTAGCTGCACTTGCATCAGGATTAGTGTTTGAGTCAGCCACTCAAGGGGAGATCAGTGTCAAATCCTTCAGCTTGAAGAGAAGAAATGACTCCTGGCTTGGTAATGTTGCTGCATTTTGTGAATTCGGAGGAAATAATCATGAAAAAAAAATTTTAAAAAAATTGAAAAAGGCATCAGGTATTCCAAAGGAAAACTTGCTGTTGCAAATGGCTGCAACTTCTCCTGTCTGTGTGCAGAGAAGTGCCAAGGAATAATTGCTGTGGCTTCTGGAATGATTTGTTCCCTCGGGTTTATTTGGAAGAGAATGTAAACCAGAGTCTTTCTTGAATTAGGGAGCATTAGCAAGGAAAATGCACTCACCTGGCATTTGGTGAAACCTCCCAAAAGGGTTCCTTGTTCTTATACTGGTTTTCAGTATAAACCTCTCTAGCTGTGCCCTGAAGAAATGCTGAGGGAAAAAAAGTTCCTTTAGTTATGGGAACTAAAATTCCTTTAGTTCAGGCTTTTTACGTGACAGAAACTGCTTTTTGCTATGACAATGAGTGCTACAAAACCCCCCCCCAAACCTTTTTTCTTACAAAGAGCTGATGGAATTTAGCACAAACACTCTGCAGAAGGATCCTCTGGCTGACCAGAACCCTGCTGCCTGCATCAATTTCTTCCAGAAAAAGCTGTAGAAAACTCAGTGAGCTTCTTGGCAAAGTAGTTTTTCTCTAGGAACAAGTGACAAGCAGCACCTTGAAGTCTTGTCTGTGTCAGTGACTCCACGTGGGAATGGTTTACACACAGGTTTCTCTGTGCAAATCCTCTCCATTCCTCCTTCTGGATGCCAGCAGGACTCTGCTTGCTTTTAATCCATCATTTCTTAGTCAAATCTTGCTGCAAATCCATGCAGGCTGTCCTTGGCCTGAAGCTAAAATAACTCTATTTCTATATTATTTTCCCCCATGTTTTCACAAAATCATTTTGGAACATTAAACCTGGATTTTTTTTTATAAAAAATTAATTTAGTCCTGTCTGTATGGTGTTTGTTTTCACTCTGTATAGAAATAAAAAGAATGCACATGCCCATTGGACCAGTGTGGTAAAGAGTTTTCTATATTATTTTAATTAAATTCCAAAGTTTTTGCAAGGGAAGGATGAGCCTAATACTGAGCACATTTACATTTTTTGGACAAGCCTGTTTCTGATATTTTTGTTTGTTTAGCTTTGTGGGGTTTTAGCTTTTATTTGTAGTTATTTAGGTTATTTTAGTGTTTAGTTTTTATTTGTAGTTATTTAGTGGTTTTTTTTTTTAATTGTTCATCTGACTTCTTCCCTCTTTTTTTTTTTTGTTTCTTTTCTCTACATTGGTGCTCTGGAATGACTTGACTGAAATTATGTGTGTTAGAAAGATAAACTGATGTTTGAAAGGGTCTTTTTGGCTAAAATCTGAGTTTACCTGTCCTTTTTTAAAGCTAAAACCTCTCCTGGTGTTGAAATGAAGACCAGTGTGTGCCAGAATTGCCCTTAAGGTGTCGATTTTGTGGAATTGCCTTAAATTCTCTAAAAGTTTCCATCTCTTAGCCTTTGTCACTCGTAATAAAGCAATAAATAAATAAATACTGAGGACAAGGAGTAGTGCTGTCTTTGATCAGTGGTGTTTTTTCAGTTTGGAGAGGGCTTGAGAAGACAGAAACGTTGTAGCTGGTAGGAAAAACAATTGAATTGTTTTCAGAGCTGAACTCTGCTCACTGCACTTGGGATATATTGAAATTTAGCTTTTCTAAGCTCAGAGGTTTCTAATTTTTCAGTTCCAACCAAGCTTGGTGCAATACAGAGAGGACACCCTGCTGACTTTTGGCTAACTTCTCATTTAAAAATGAAAAACAACCACCCAACCTTTCCCTTGTTGTGCTGAACTTGTGAGCTCCTGCTTGGACAAGAACTTCCAGCATTAATTTACTTTTTTTTTCTCTGCCTGCTGCTCAGTTCTCCGTGCACAGAACCAAATCCCAAACCTGCCTCGTAGGGGTGGCTGTTCCCAGCTGCTGGAATCCCTGTGTGTAACTCCTGCTTGCATTACCCACAGGCAGCCTGTGCTGATCTCTGCTAATCTCACCCTTCATATTATGGTTTTGTCCTGTGAGTATTTCAGTTCTTTGGTTTATTTTTTTTTTTTTTGTTTTAAAAATCTCTGTTCCAAAGATGTTTACCGAGGCTGAGCGATGTAACCTGAGTGGAAGAGCCTGTCCTTTGTGTGTTTTGATGTTGCTTGAATATCAATTTTGTAAAAATGCAGACTGCCCTTTCCATATCACCTGAACCAGGCCTGTTTCATTCCAGAAAGAATTAATGACCTGTAACAATAATTTTGTTTTTTTCAGAGAATCTTCAAGTAAAAAAAATAACCACCAGCTTTGGATTTCTGTGTTTGTGTCTTTCTGGGTTTTTTTGTTTTGGTCAGGTTCTTGCTGCTCAGTGATGAAACAGCTCCTTCCATGGATGAAAATTATAACCCTGAAGCTAAAAAATGTTATTTTAAAAAGTCAGGTTTGAATAATAATTCAAAGTAAAGCTGCACTGAGTGATTTCTTTTTTAGTCAAGACTGGCTTGGGTACCTCATTTGGTTCCAATGGTTTGGGAAGGAGCTTTCACTCATGCAAGGCTTAGCCAGAAATGATAATAAAATATAGTTTTGTGTAGCAAGAAATGTAGGCTGGAGTTGACAAATGATGTTTAAAATTCATTTTTTTGGCGACTCTTTTCTGTGGTGGCGTGAAACGCGTGCGAGGGAGCCGCAGATGGGCCCCTCCCCTGGCCCTCCCACGCTGCATCCATGAAGGGATCAACTCTGGGGGATTAATCTTGGAGTGGGAAGTTTAATTCCAACTTGTGGCAGCTCTAAAGTGAAAGAGGTTTCTTAGGGAGGAGACAAATCCAGAGGAGGAATGCTCGGAGCGCTGCTGGAATTTTCTGGAAATAATAATGCTCGTAGCTCCTCCCTGACAGGAGTCGGGAATTGAGAATTCCACACTCACCCAGGGAACGCTCATACAAACCCCACTCCCCTCCTCTTCCACTCAGAGTGTTACATCCAACAGGAAATAATTGCAGAAGGAAAAAAAAAAAACAAGGGAAAAGTCAAAACTGAAATATTTGTAGATACTAAAAAAGTTGGGAATGGCCTGATGGGAAAGAAAAGTCTGGGAATTATTGGCAGTTGGTGTTTGCCAAAGGTTGGGTTGGAAATCAGTGATTTCAGTTGTGACAGTGATTGATGGGGAAGGAGAAATTTCAGTATTTAGCACCGGTTTAGAAACACCAAATTCAATCTCAATTTTAAGATTTCTTTGCTTTAAGAAGAGGGAATTGTGCCTCCTGCAGATTTCTTGGACAAGATCACCTTTGGCCCTTCCCTGGGTTTATTCCATGGCTGATTCCCCACTCTTGGACCAGCTTTTCTTTGCATTTCAAACTCCCTACCTTGATTAATCCCGTGACTTCCTAGAGGAGATTCTGCCTGAACCCTCCCTTTTCCCTGCTTGAAACTTCTCAGCCACAAATTTCACTTCCATTCAGCGTCGCTTACAGAAATTCCCTTTCACTGCAAGGCAGATCCAAAAGGATAACTTTGGAATTCTGCTGCGTTCCCAAAAAACTCCCAGGAGGAATCCTGGGCAGGAGGGGTTTGATTGTGTGAGGGATGTCCTTGAAGTGAGGGCAGGTTCTGAAATCCCTGTGAACACCAGAGGGGGCAAAAAGCACCTCTGAAATCTGTGTGTCTCTCTAAAAGTTATTTTTTAAAATTAAATCAGGTCTCTGTCCAGGAGTTTTAAAGTGTAAAATGAGAAACCATCAATTCAATTATTTATTAAATAATTTATTAAATAATAATAATATTAAATATTTAATATTATTAAAGATCATATTTTTCTCAGCTGTGCTTTTCCTTCCAGAGTCTTTCTGTTCTGCTGAGCCTGGACCTCAATGCCCTTTTTTCCCCCCTTTTTGTGTGACTGCTGATTCCTCAGGAAGATTCTCTCTGAATTTCCCTTGGAATTCCTTGGCACGTGGATGCATCAGGAATCAAGGAAAAGGCGTGTTCAGAGGAAAGATTCCTGGGATAAATGGATAAGTAGCCATTTCTCCCTTTTCATCCTTTTCATGTCAAATATTTGGGAAGCATTTGAAGTGTGGTTTTATACAGATCCCTCCTTCCTTTCCTCAGAATTCCACAGGTTTCTCTGTGGGCTCTGTGTGTTCCCAGGAACAGGAATGATCCCCCACCTGCCCACATGTGCCCATCTCCAGAATTCCCAACGTTTTTGAGATGCTGCAGGATCTGCCGGGAGCGGCGATGCCACAACTCCAGAGCCGCTCAATGAAATCCCTGCGTGAGGAAAAGCCAAACATTCCTGAAATGTCAGGAATTCTTCAGGGAGGACGCTCTGGGTGTAATCCCGGTGTTTTTAGCTCAGGCTGCTTGATGGCTGTGGTGACAATTTGCTGAGGGAGCTGTCAAGGTTCAAGCATCACTTGTCAGAGCCCACAGCGAGGGTGATCCATCCCTTTCCCAATCCGTCCCTTCTCTCCCGATCTGTCCCTTCTTTCCTGATCCATCCCTTCTTTCCCTATCCATCCCTTTCCCCATCCATCCCGTTCCTGATCCATCCCGTTCCTGATCCATCCCTTTCCCGATCCATCCCTTCCTTCCTGATCCATCCCTTCCTTCCCGATCCATCCCTTCCTTCCCCATCCATCCCTTCTCTCCCAATCCATCCCTTTCCCAATCCGTCCCTTCTCTCCCAATCCATCCCTTCTTTCCTGATCCATCCCTTCTTTCCTGATCCATCCCTTCTTTCCTGATCCATCCCTTCTTTCCCCATCCATCCCTTTCCCAACCCATCCCTTCTCTTCCAATCCATCCCTTCTCTCCCGACCCATCCCTTTCCTGATCCATCCCTTTCCCGATCCATCCCCTTGTCAGCGCCTTGGGCAGCGATCACTGGAGCCAAATCCCCTCTTCCTGGGATCTGAGCTTTCCCTGGAGTTTTCCTCCTGTTTTCTTCAGCAGGAGAGGCACCAACAAACCATGCCAGGAGCTGCTGGCCCCAGGGAAGAGTTGGGATGCTCCTCTGGAATTCTGCAGCCAGGACTGAAACTCCATCCACCATGGGGCGGTGTAGTGAGACCTCGCTGGGAGGGAGCCCCTCGGCAGGAACACCATCAGGAAACCTTTGGAATCCCTATTTTCCCAAGATTTCCTCCTTGAAATCCCTCCTGCAATGCCTCGTTTGTCTCCTGCATGCCCAGGAAAGGGAGAAGCCGGCTGGAGCCTGGAGAAATCGGGGCTGGATCTGGCTGTGGGTCAGGGTGGGGAATGTGCAGCTGGGGCTCCGGGATGCTCTTTGCTTTTGTTTAGGATAATTAGGAGTTTAGCATAATTAGCACTAATGGTTAATGCTCCTCATGCTGCTCCAGCCTGGCTGTGCTTAAATAGAATTTATTTTTTTATTTTTTAAAAATTTTTTTAAAAGAGTTTTGGAGCACGTTTCCTAAAGGGCTGCTCCAACTTGACTCCAGGGAATTGTGGAAGAGGTGAGGCCAGAGGAAGAGAAAGGAACCATCCGACCACGTGGTGGCAACGTGGAGATGGAGAAGGATTGCTGTGCTTCCCTGAAGGGATTTTCACTTCACAAGAGACACCTGAAGTTGATTCGTGGCTTTAAAGAGGACGTTAAAAGCAGGAAATGTGAATATTTTCGGCTGTGTCACCTGAGCCTGTGGATGCCCTCAGTGGCATGGAGCAAACAAATGGAAAAAGCAGGATTGATGGATTGGTGAGACTTTTCTGAATGAGAGGATGTCAGGAAATGAATAATTAAGGCTGGGCCAGAGGAAGGGCAGCGGGATGGGGTTTGGAACAGGGAAATCTCCAGCTCCTGCACTGGGTTTTCCACAGATGGATTTATTTTGTGCGGATTGAGATCATCACTTGGATTTCCAGGCCTGGCAGTGAAGAGTGAGACATTGGGAGGCTGAGGAGAGGCTCTCCACAATGACAGGAGGGGACACCCAGGTGGGATTCGGGCTCTGCTCTCAGAGAACTGGGACAGGATGAGAGGAAACGGCTTCAAGTCATGCCAGGGGAGGTTCAGGTTGGACATCAGGAAGAGTTTCTTCATGGAAAGGATGGTGAAGTGTTGGAACTGCCCAGGAGGGAGGTGGTGGAGTCCCCATCCCTGGAGGGATTTAAAAGCCTTGTGGATGTGGCACTTGGGGACAGAGGTCAGCGGTGGCCCTGGCAGTGCTGGGGGAGCGGTTTGGTCTTAGAGGGCTTTTCCAAGCTCAGCAGTTCCAGGATTCCATGGAAGCTGTCCTGAGCACGCTGTCTTCCATGGTCATCCATGGGTGTATCCTCAAAACCTGCTGGGATTTCCCTTGCCCAGCTCTGTCCTGCTCCTTCTGACTCTTCCCACTGCCGATCGTGCTGGGCCAGGAGGAGGGAGCCAGCGCAGAAGGGAGCCTGGGAAGGCAGCAGGCTGCTGCTGCTGGCTCTGGGGGGCAGGAGATGGGAGAATTCCAGGGCAGGAGCAGCGTTTTGGCTGCTCCAGGGAGAGCTGGGCTGCTCTGCCAGGGCTCCTCGCTGGAATCCTGTGGCTGCGCAGCGCTGGGAGGGGAAGAAAGGCTCTGGAATGGGCAGGTGGTGAGCAGAGCCCAGTCCTGCCCTGGGGCTCTGCCTGTGCTGCAGCTGCAGACCTCTGGATTCCCTGCCCTGTGAATGAACATAAAAAACCAGTTTTCTCTTCAGGGCAGCACATCAGGGAGTTTTCCCCTCCGTTTGCCGCGGCGCCGGGAGCCAAATCCTCCGTGCGTGTCCCAGCGGGATCCCTGCCGGAGCTGCCAGCAGGGCTGGGCTTCTCTGCTCCGTGTCCTGGGGGGCCACAAAGACCTGGTGCCACCTGGCCTGTGCCACGTGTGATCCAGGGAAATGTGCCCACCTTGGAGCTGGAGCTGCTGGAAATGCCTGCGTGGGTCAGACTGGCAAATGGAATGTGGGAGCACAGGGAATAATCCTGCTCTGGAAGGAGAATATGGGATGGCAGCCTTGGTACTTAATCTTGGTGTTCAGCCTGGAGAGGGGAAGGATCCAGGGAGGCCTTAAAATCCTTCGAGTGCCTGAAGGGGTCCCAAGAGAGCTGGAGATGGACTTGGGACAAGGCATGGAGGGAAAGGACAAGGGAGAAGGACTTTAAGCTGGAGAAGGGTAGATGTAGGTTGGATATTGGGAAGGAATTCCTGGCTGGGAGGGAGGTGAAGCCCTGGCACAGGGTGCCCAGAGCAGCTGTGGCTGCCCCAGGATCCCTGGAGGTGCCCAAGGCCAGGCTGGACAGGGCTTGGATCAGCCTGGGACAGTGGAAGGTGTCCCTGGTGCAGGGGTGGCACTGGAGGTTCTTTAAGGTCCCTTCCAATCCCAAAAGTTCTGTGACTCTGTGAAATCCCTCATTGCTGAGCTTTGAGATAAAACTTTCTCCATAATGCCCCAGTAACTGGGAACAGGCAGAACAATGCCACAAACCAGTTTAGCCCCAATTCCCATAACAAACAGGAGGACATGGAGCTGGACTCGGTGATCCTTGTGGGTCCCTTCCAGCTCGGGACACTCCCCAACTCTCTTCTGTGACGCTATGACAATTTTAGGAGATCTTGCCAGAGCCCCATGAGCTGCAGGAGGAGCTTGCTGGTCCCTGCACACCGAGCAGCTCCAGCATGGAGCTGTTTCCAGATCCTGCTCCATCCAGGAACAGCTGAGGCAGAGATGCAGGATCCTGTTTTGGAGATTTCCCATCTCTGCTATCATTAACCCTCCACTGGCCTCTGGGTTATTTTCCCAGCTGGGCTGATTAAAATTCCCTGTCCCTTTAGCCTCTTGGCCAGCTCCTCGATCCCTTCAATCCCAACATGTATTTCTATTTATCAGGCCTTTCCCCTGGATATTTTTTTTTGCCTGGCTGGCTTTGCAGAAGTGGTTTATTTACAAATCTGCCCAGAAATGGCTCCGAGTGACGCGAGTGTTGGTTGAAGGAAAGCTGATTTTTGACGAAGTCAGCACGAGAACGGGAACAGATGGGGAACGTTGATGAATTTGATTTTGCTAAATGTTGTCCTCCTGCAAATCAGCTTGCTTTTCCCTATTAGCATAAGAAGCAGCAAAAAAAAGGATTTAATTTCTCTAAACATTTCCCCTTAATGATCTACCTCTCCAGCTTAGAGATACATGTGGCTGCTTATCAGCAGAGCAGCTGATTTCCTTCCACCGAGAATTGACTGTGATTTCGAGGTGATTTCTGGCACTTCTCCCTCCCTGGGGTGAGAGCTGTGCTTGGGAGAGGTGGTTGCTGTTTTGAAGTGGTATCAGTTTATATGTATTTAGTTGATTTAACCGAGTGGTTTTAATTTTTAAAAAATTTTATTTTGATTTTTGAAGGCCCATTCTGGAGGTGCTGCCATCCCCAAGTGTCACTGGTGATCTCCGTGCCTGTATCCAGCATCCACAGAGCTGCATCCCCGTGGTCCTTGGATGCAGGAGGAGGTGGGAGAAGCCCACAGGTAAATAATTTCCCAAGCTTTGGGCTGGAATCAGCACACAGAAGGATTGGGCATCAAGTGCTGCAGCACTCACAACGTGCTGGTTCCATCCTCTGCCAAGAGCCCGCAGGAAAACCTGGCACAATTCCACACAGGGAGCAGCCCTGGCCCGGCCCCAGGGGATGTCCCTGCTCTGTTTTTCCCTCAGTACCTTCCCACAGAGCTGGTAAATCCCAGAGAATCTTCCTCCAGCCTTCCTCCATCCTGGAGTGTGGCAGAGCCACTGTCCCCCCTCACAACCCCTGTGTGACCATCCAGGAAAGCTCAGCTATCCTGAAATGTTAAAAGCACTGAAGGCTGGAGCCCTCAACACCCTCCCAGCCAGGAATTCCCAATTCCCAATCTCCCATCCATCCCTGCCCTCTGGCACTGGGAGCCATTCCCTGTGTCCTGTCCCTCCATCCCTTGTCCCCAGCCCCTCTCCAGCTCTCCTGGAGCCCCTTCAGGCCCTGCAAGGGGCTCTGAGCTCTCCCTGGATCCTTCCCTTCTCCAGGTGAACATTCCCAGCTCTCCCAGCCTGGCTCCAGCCCTTGGAGCAGCTCTGTGGCTTCTCCAGGACTCGTTTTTATGTTGGGACACCCAGATCTGCCTTTCCTCTCAGTGGAGGGGCTAAAAGCTCTAAGACTTCATTTTTATTCTCCTTTTTCTCTATTCTCCCGAAGCTGCACAGCTCTGATGGATTCATCCCATCAGTCACACTGGCTTTAGCCTTATCCATTGGCTTGGAATCTCTGTCATCCCCTGCTTCCATTGGATGCTGCAGCATCTCTCTGTGGATTAGCCTGTCTGAGCCCAGCCACAAATGGAGCCCCAAGAAAAGCTGCTGGAGCCAGCTCCCTGCTGGGAACTTTAATTTCTTATCAGTTTCTTCCTAACATCCAGTTAAATCCATCTTCCTTTGGCTTAAGGATGTTGTCCCTTGTCCTGGCATGCCAGGCCCCTGCCCAAAGTCCCTCTCCAGCCCTCACAGCCCCCTCGAGGAGAGATGAAATCCCAACTTTTTGGGTTTTGTTTCTTCAGATTTACCCACGTGAGCTGGTGGCACTGACCTTCTCCAAAGTTCAGTGTTCCTGCCATTTGTCCTCTGCCTTGCTCAAACCCTTCTGGAGAGCATCCTGCTGTCCCACAGGGACACAGGGAATGGTTTCCCACTGCCAGAGGGCTGGGTTAGGAGGGATATTGGGAAGGAATTCCTGGCTGGGATGGAATTCCCAGAGAAGCTGTGGCTGCCCCTGGATCTCTGGAAGTGTTCCAGGCCAGGTTGGACGGGGCTTGGAGCAGCCTGGGATAGTGGGAGATGTCCCTGCCATGGCAGGGGTGGGATGGGATGGGATTTAAGGTCCTTTCCAACCCCCTCCATTCTGGGATCCTGTGATTTGTGAAGCAATACATTGAAACCTGCAGGTAAAGAGAGAAATGGGAGCCATTTCTTCCATGTGCCAATAAATCCCTGGGAGACAGATCCACCTGGCTGGATCAGAGAGCACTCAAGCACTGCTTGCCTTGGCTCCCTGACAGGATGCTCCAGAGCAAAGCCAGCCTGGAAGATTAAAGGTTCACTTAACGATTGCACAGATGTCTCGGACACCCGAGATGCCTCGTCCAAGCTGTGGCTTTGGAACTTCCCAGTGACAACTGGAAAAGGGGAGATCATCTTTCCTCTCCCACCCAGTGCCAGATTTAGTCACGGATGGCACTTGAGCCGTAAATCTCCCTTAACCTGGAGCTCTGGCAGCCACGGGAGGCTGGCGGTGCCGAGGTCGTGTCGCGGATCCCGATGATCCCCGTCCCTCCAGGGGGAAACGAGGCGGTTGTGCTTGGTGTGGGATGAATGAATCCCATGAAATGACGATGTTTGAACCCCGAGTTCTGCGCCACAGCCGTTACCCTGTGGGAGATAAACGGGAACGGCAACGAGCTCGTCCTTCTAACGGGGGAACCCCGACCACGGCTTCAGCGTGTGCTCTGTGCTCACAGACAGCTCCACACCGGCTTTTCTCCCTCAATCACCTCATTCTATCGGATTTTCCAGATGAAGAATCCCTTTTTACGAGCCACTCCCCTTAAGACTGAAACACAGTTTAATTATCTCCCCTATATTTATTTACTTCGACGCCACGCTGTCGCAGCCCTTCCGTGGAGCTGCTCCCCTCCACGGGAGGCTGGAAGGAGAAGATTCCAGAGGATGTGACTCATTTGTGGTGCTGAGCTTTGCTGGGAGCATCAGCGCTATCCGAGGAGCCGGGATCGCTCCCGGCTGCTCGCGCAGAGCCGGAGTGTGGCTGCATGGTGAATTATTGATAAGGGAATAATAGCAGCTGGAGATAATCTCTCCCACGGAATATAGGGAATAAATCTTCTCTGCTGTACAGGGAGTTGAGTCTTCCAGTGAGAAGAAGGGGAATAATGGTGGCAGGAGGTTTTTCTCGAGCGAAGAGCGTGGAAGGAGCCCCTGGGAACTGCGTGCAGCACTGCAGGGAGGGGATTTGGCTCTGAGAGAGGGGTTTCACCCACAGACCTTGATTTGGGAGCTTCTACTTCACTGAGAGCTGTGGGTCCTCCAGGAGAAACAGGTCAGGGAAACTGGGAATGAAACAGGCATCCCAGTAGCTGCCAGGGCAGGAGGAGAGGAGTGGATCACATCAGATGCAGAGGATCATTTTTGGTGTTACCTGCTCCATGGCAGGGGCAGCTCCTGGGCCTGTCCCCCTTCCAGGACACAACTCCTGGGCCTGTCCCCACTCCAGGACACAGCTCCTGTCCCTCTCCAGGACACAGCTCCTGTCCCTCCTCCAGGACACAGCTCCTGTCCCCACTCCAGGACACAGCTCCTGTCCTTCCTCCAGGACCCAGCTCCTGTCCCCCCTCCAGGACACAGCTCCTGTCCCCACTCCAGGACACAGCTCCTGTCCTTCCTCCAGGACACAGCTCCTGTCCTTCCTCCAGGACACAGCTCCTGTCCCCACTTCAGGACACAGCTCCTGTCCCCACTTCAGGACACAGCTCCTGTCCCTCCTCCAGGACACAACTCCTGTCCCCACTCCAGGACACAGCTCCTGTCCTTCCTCCAGGACACAGCTCCTGTCCCCTCTTCCAGGACACATCTCCTGTCCCCACTCCAGGACACAGCTCCTGTCCCTCTCCAGGACACAGCTCCTGTCCCCACTCCAGGACACAGCTCCTGTCCCCACTCCAGGACACAGCTCCTGGGTTGGGAGCAGGCACCAGCCATGGGCATGAGGGAGGGATGGGTGCACTGGGATGGGGAAGAGGCACAGCAGGGTCGATGCCTGCTCCAGTGAGTCTGTTTGCAGCTTTTCCATGCCAGGAAGTTTTGTCCTGACAGCACTTCCTGGTTCTCCTTTAATTCCGTCCATCGCCTGTGCCGAGGGCACTGAGGGTGGCACAGGATGCACAGAGCACAGCTGGGACACCTGGGCAGTGTTGGGTTATTTACAGTCAAATACTCCAAATTAAATTAAAGTGGCAGCCAGAGCCCAGCCAGAGTGTCTGACCCCCTTCAGGAGGGTTGCAGTGGGGCTGCAGTGATCCCTCAGAGGGAAAACCCAGCAGCCAGGCTGTGCTCTGCCCCGGAGCTCCGTGTGGAGATGGGGATGGAGCCTCCTCAAATCCCAGCCTTCGCTTTCCTCTCCGATGTTGAGCATGAAGAACACAACCCTGGGGTTAGGGGGGATAAATCCCTCTGCAGAGCAGATGGCTGAGCAGGGCTGGCTCTGCAAGCACCATCAGCTTGGTACAAATCACATATTGGGGACAGATGGTCCTTGCTCCAACGGGGGCTGCCCAGCCTTGCCCCACCTGTTTCCTACAAACAGATTCCCCTGCACATCCGTCATCCTCACGGCGGATCTGGAGCGCCACGGCCCCGATGACAGAGCCTCAAGGCATTTCTCTCATCCTTTACGGGGTGTTGAGGGATTTCCCTCTCTACTTGACATGCTCAGTGAACCACCTTGGGAGGAAAACTTATCAAAAGCAGTGGGTGCTCTTCCGTGATTTAATTTGGAAGCAAAACCATCGCCCTGCACTGCAGGGATGGTCCCCCAGCAGCACAGCTCTGCTCTGGCACCGCACATCTGGATTTCAAACAGCTGAAGAAGCCCCTCAGATGGGTCAGTGGACACCTCTCCCATCCTTCTGGGCAGAGCAGAGTCCACATTTCAGTTAAATCCTGGTGAGATGAGCCCCAGCAGCAGCACAGACCGAAGGGCTGTGATGTCCCGTGGGAGGGCAGGGGACAATTCCCTCCTCCCCATTTTCTGTGGGGCTGGGAGGCACAGCCAGTGCTGGGGCCACCAAACATCTCCCTCTGCCATGGAAGAGCAGTGCAAGGAATTCTTCCCTGTGAGGAAAGAATGGTGCCCAGAGAAGCTGTGGCTGCCCCTGGACCCCTGGAAGTGCCCAAGGCCAGGTTGGACTGGACTTGGAGCAGCCTGGGATGGTGGAGGGCGTCCCTGCCGTGGGATGAGATGATTTTTAAGATCCCTTCCATGATTCCTGCTGCAGACCTTCACACTGGGGTCTGACAGGGCCCCTCCAGCTCTGCTGCCAGCTCTGTGTTTGCCCACATCTCTGTCTGGGTGTGTTTTGGGCACAGCTTTGGCGGTGTGTGGCTGGAAGGGGCGCTGGGGAAGTTTCCCACTCCCAGGGATGTCATTTCAGGAGTTGTGGTTTGGCTGAGCCACATCTGGACTGTATTTCTGGGAATCTGTAGAGCTGAGCTCTGTGTTCTCACTCAATTACAGTGGGACACTTGTCAGCAATTTCTTGTTTTTATTTCCTGCGACTTTCCAAACTTGGCTGTTTAAAAAAAAAAATTTAAAAAAATAGGCATGAGGAAAAGAAAAAAAAACAAACCCACAAACAACAAAAACCCCAAAGCACATGACACGGGTTGGGAAGTGCACCAGGAACAGACTTTTTCTGGGCAGGAATGATTCCATTTCTGCTGGAGCAGCGTGTGCAGGGAGAAGCTGCCCAGAGAGCTCCTCAATGAGCCTGTCAGCATTCCGTGGAATCACGGAGAGGTTTGGATTGGAAAGGATCTTAAAAACCACCTCATCCCACCTTCCACGAGACCAGGTGTCTCCAAGCCCCATCCAACGTAGCCTGGAACATTTCCAGAGATGTTTAAGAGGCACGATTCCCTCAGTAATTAACTTTTGGTCAGCCCTGAGGTGATCAAGGTGTTGGACTCGATAATTGTGCCAGGTTCCTTCCAGCTGAAATATTCCAGTCCATTCCTGCTGTGGATGAGAGATGCTCAGTGCCCTGCTTTGGGCAAAGTCCAGGAGCACCTTCAGACCCTCCAGAGCAAAAGTAACCCCAGAATGATGCAAAATCCACCCCCAATACCCTGATCCCTGCATCCCCCTCCTGCTGTGGGCACTGGAGATGGAACAATCCCAAAATGAAGGACTTCTTCCAGTAATTGCTGCCTGAAAACACATAATTAATTCTGATAGATGGAGATGGGAACTTTAAATTGATTTAATGGCAGGTGGGAAAGAAGAATGCCCAAGGGTTGCCAATTTCTGCAGTTTCACCTCCCTGATAGATGTAGGAGCATTGGAATAATCACATTTGTCATTAGCACTGCCAGTGACAATCCATTAAACCAGACTAGTGCTGAATTGCTTGGTTTTAAAATCTATTTTATTTATCGCGCCAAAGCGATCACGCTCGGAAATTTCCTTGCTTTGGAAAGAAAGCGGAAAATCATGGAATCCTTAGGGCTGGGAAAGACCTTTGAGTCCATGATGAACCAGCAGGGGTTGTCTCATGATGATCTCATCAACACCTTTCCCAACAAGAGTTCTGATGTAGGGCACGGTATTCCCAGACCTCGTGGATGTCAGAGCAGGGATTGTCCCTGCTGGGCCTCAATTCCCCCAAAATTCCACACCTGGTGTTGGAACGAGCTCTGCAGAGCCACGAGCCTGGCTCTTGACAGCTCATTTGTTTTGTCTCTTGGATCCAGCCCCGTTTATCAATGGAAGATCAGGAAATCCCTCCTGGCCCGGAATCCTTGGCAGCAGCAGGCAGCTCCCAGCCTCCCTCCCATGGCTTGGCTTCACTGCAGTCCCTCCTTCACTGGGAAGCTCTTGTCCAGATGGTGCTGGAGCCAAAACATCCGTGTTCCCTGATTTCCAGGGCTTTTCCCTGGAAGTGCCTCCTGCTGGGACCTCTTGGTTCTCCTCTGTGTTTGCTCGGGGATGAGCGGCCCCAGGGCACACCTGGATCCATGATCCTGCTCCTCAGGAAGCCTCTCAGGAGAGCAAGGAACCAAAAATGTTTCCCAGCCCCTCTGAGCAGCTGCTGGGAGCATTTGAGAAGGCAGATGAGAGCAGACCTTGCTGGGAAGGAAACTGCCGCTGGGATGAGGTCCAGGAATTTTCCGCCAGGTGTTGCTGCTCAAGGTCACCTTGGGCTGGTGGAAGCCACTGGAGCTGTTTCATCTGGAGCAAAGGAGGCTCAGGGGGGACCTTTCCACTCTCCACAGCTCCTTGGCAGGAGGGAGGAGCAAGGTCAGGCTCTGCTCCCAGGGAACAGGGACAGGACAGGAGGAAAAAGTCTTAAGCTACACCAGGCAAGGTTGAGATTGGATATTGGAAAAAAATTCTTCATGGAAAGGGTTGTCCAGCCCTGGCCCAGCTGCCCAGGGCAGTGGTGGAGTTCCTGGAGGGATTTAAAAGCCATGTGGATGTGGCACTTGGGGACAGGGGACACTCTTGGCAGTGCAGGGGGATGGTGGGACTCAACAATCTTCAAGTGCTTTCCCAACCTAAAGAATTCCACAATTCCATAAGAGTCTGTGTCCTGCCAGCTGCTGGGAACTAATGGCTGCTGCTCTCCCTTTCTTCTTGGGACAGCTACAAATCAGCACATCCCAACCTCATTCCCAAACTTTTCATGTTCCCTAGAGCACCTTCACCAACAGAACCCCCTGTCCAAGGCTGGGCTCTGCCAGGAGCTCATCCTGCTTTTCCCAGCCTCTCCACTCTGTGCCATGGCCATTCCCAAACCACATGTGCTCCCTGCTCCCTCATCCCTGCTCCCAGCCTGGGGAGAGGCGTCTGCACAGGCAGATCCAGCCTCTCCTGCAATATTTATCACACAGGAAGGTTCACCATCTGTTGCCTCCTCTGATGCTCCCCAGGACCTCAGATCTCAGCTGCTTTTCCAGGTTTTCCTGTGGAACTCCAAGGCTGGGGCTGTGCTGAGCTTGGTGCCCTTCCAGGGCCTGAAGGGGCTCCAGGAGAGCTGGAGAGGGACTGGGG